AAAATTTGGGATATTACAACAAGAATCATGCTAAATGCTTCTTGAATGATTATGTCCTGATTCTGCTTGATGTTGCTTAATTTAGAAATGTTTGTTGAATGCTTGATTCTATAATTAAAGTCATAAATATTTGACATTGTTGGCCATCATATACCCTTTGGCTTTATCACTGACTGGATGCTTGTTGAATGCATAAGTGTTGAATGTTGAATTGATGCAATGTTGTTTGTTGTTGCTTGCTGCTGCCTTGTAAATTATTGTTGGTATGACTGGAATAAATTGTTGTAACTTGTAAAAAAAATTTAAATTGTTGCTCATGTTAAATTATGTTAGTGACATTTCGGCCTTTAAAGCTTAAAAGTTGCCCTTAATTTAATAATGTTGGCAGCATTTAGATATTTTGAGATAAAAGTTCGATGAAAAAATTTTATGGTAGCAAAGTAAGGCTTTTAGCCTTATAAAACATTTGTTTAAATTTTTAAATTTAACACATTTGTTTTTGTTCATTTTATTGTAATTTTATTATATTGAATTGTTATAAGTTTTATATTATTCAAATTTTTAATCTCATGTTATTCAAATTTTAATATCAAATAAATTCATCTTTTACATTATCTTTTATATATTCTCAAATTTTAAGATGAATTATATTTACATTATTAATTAATTATTACATAAAACATAAATTAAACTAATAAATATTTAAATTAATTATTTAATTAATCATGTTCAATAAATAAATTATTTTCACTATTAATGATTATAATTTATTTAATTATTCATATTCAATACCAATAAATTATTTTAATTTGTAATGATTATAATTAATTTAATTAATCACATTCAATAAATAAATTACTTAACAAAATTAATTTAATTATTATAATTAAGATTAATAATATAAGAAACATCATTAATATAATAAGTAAATTTATTAATTTAATTATCATAATTAATAATTTATTATAACATTTAAAAAGTAATCATATTAATTAACATGATTTATTATAAACTCAAAATCTCAACTTCATCAAAATCTTATAATTTCATCATGGTAATTTATAATTCAGGTAAATATCAAGTCAGATAAATATCAGACCAGTTCAATAATAAGTCAAATCATTTACAGGTTAGTCAATTACAGGTCAGGTTGAAAACAGGTCGGGTAATACCAGTTATTTACCAGGTTAATCTCGGGTTCAAGTTCATATCAGTTGGATGCAGGTCGAGTTTAGTTATCATATTTTTTGTTCAATTTGGGTTCATGTCGTTCTTAGATTAGGTGCAGGTCGGGTTCATATCCACAATTTTCAGGTCCAACTTGGGTTTAGGTCAACACCAGTTCCGACTCGAGTCAGTTTCAAATCACCACTGCTCAGGTCACAAACAGTTTTTACTCGAGTCGGTTTCATTCAGTTTTACAGGTCGAGTCAACTTTTTACATCCTAATTGCAGTTAGTGTTAATCGAATACACTTAATTGAGAAAAATTATAAATCAATGTATTATTAGATAATTGTGATTATAAATTAAGTACATAAAAAATGTGAAAAAAGCAAAAGAGTAACTTTTACCCCTGTAGTAAACTTAATTTATCATTTTTACCCCTATTGTATTTCCACATTGACTTAACCCTTAAAGTTGTTTAATTGAATCATTTTATACCTTACTCCTAACTTAAAATCCTAAATTGATAACTTTAAACCCTAAACCATAACCTCATAACCTTTAAACCTTATTTTTAACTTTAAACATTTAATTTAGGGTTTTAAGTGAGAGTTAGGGTATGAAATGATACAATTAAGTAATTTAGAGGATTAAATTGATGCGAAAATATGATAGGGACGCAAATGATAAAATTAGGTCTACTACAGAGGAAAAAAGGTAAAGTACCCGCCTTTAATCTATTTTGCCCAATACAACTAGTTTATAGATTGTTTTCGTTGCCTTTCTCTTCCCAAGTCCCTTCATCTAACAAACCTTCATTGTTTTTTTGAAAAGGAAGTGCAATCAAGGGTTCCAACAATATTACAATAAACCAATCAAGGGTTCTCCTCATCTAAGGTGAGTGATGTCATCGAGGGTGAGGGTGAGGGTGAGGGTGAGAATTTTAATTTAGGGTTTAACATTTAGGGGGCGTTTGGATGGGGGAATGTGAGATTCTCATGGGAATGAAATCCACATTCCCCCGTTTGGTTAGACTGAGAATCTCATTCCCGGTAATGTAAGATTACCAATAGTGAATTTTTTTGGGTATATTATCGGGAATGTCATTACCTCTATTTCCTTAGGTATTGTTGGATTACCGGCGTTTTGGGCTAAAATGCCCTTAATTTTTTTTTTCAAAAATATCCTTCTTCTGTCATTGAATAATAAAAAATCTACTAAGGTTAAATTACAAAATTATCCTTAAACTATTTTAGATTTACAAAAAAAGTCTATAATTAAAATTTTATATGAAGTTCAGGGGTTAAAATAAAATTTTACCTTTTCATTAAACCTTTTTATATTTTTAATTTTGTAAAAAAATTATATAAATTTTATGAATTTAAATTTTTTAAAGAAAATATATAAATATTTTCCAACTTGTTAAAAAAATAAATATATAATAAGGACAATTTGGTCAAATATACATTCCAACAATCCTTATTCCTTTAACCAAACACGGTAATCTTACATTCCTGCTAAGCCAACCAAACACAAAATACAACATTCCCAGTAATCCTATTCCCTGGTAATCTTACATTCTCACTGATAATCTTACATTCTGTGAACCAAACGCACCTATAGGGTATAACTTGGTGATTTAGGATTTTGTGTATAATTTAATATTTTAAATTTTATTTTATTGTAATCCTATATAATATTAAAAAATTAATAAAAATATTACATTTTATATGAAAAAACAATAAAATAATTATTTTCATCATTGAGTGATCAAAAAAAATTAATCTATAAAGTTTAGTGAGTAAATTGAAAATATTGAAGGTACAACAAATGAAATAGGAAAGAGAATAAATTAAGTGACGAATTGTGTAGTTTACCCTTAAAGTAGTCCACCACGTCGACTTTACGCTCTACTCGAGGCGTATTCAATGGTGAACAGAAGAAAGCAAAGGAAGCAGCTGTAGTCTCAGCTTCTTGGATTCTTCCGGGAAAACACTTCATTTCATTTCCGATCCAATTTCCACCACTACACGCTTTCTTCCTTTGGTATTAATAATTATACAGAAATTGCTCCGAAACCTTTGTTTTTGGAAATTTGATCTCCTTTTCTCTTCATTCTTGCTCTTTTACTTGGACTGTTCCTAGTTGCTTCCTGGGTTTTAGGCCATCTATATGTATATATATACTGATTTTGAACATCGGATTGAGACATCCTTTTCTTCCTCCTATAATTCTCCATGTTGTCGTTACCTTCGTCTTCCTCGTCTATTTCCAGCCACAAATATGATGTTTTCTTGAGTTTTAGAGGTGAAGATACCCGCAGAAGTTTTACAGATCATCTCTATGATGCTCTTCAACGCAGTGGAATCGTCACTTTCAGGGATGACCCGAAGCTGGAGGCCGGCGAAGAGATTGCCCCAGAACTCTTTAAAGCCATTCAACAATCATGGTGCTCGGTAATCGTTTTCTCCAAAACCTACGCCTTTTCAAGTTGGTGTTTGGAGGAGCTTGCTGAGATTGTTAAACAAAAATTGGAGAAAAGTCTTAAAATATTTCCAATTTTCTATGATGTGGATCCGTCTGATTTAAGGAAACAAAAGGATAAAGTTGGAGAAGCATTTGCCAAACACGAAGAGACATACAAGGAAGATCAACACAAGATCCAAAGATGGCGAAATGCTTTGACTGAGGTTTCTAACATCAAGGGATGGCATTTGAATAACAAGTAATTCATTCTTTTCTTTTTTGTTTGATCATTTATTTCATTGTCATATATGTTAATTTCTTAAATGAATAAAAAAAACTAAATTTAATTTCTATTGTAGGCATGAATCTGAATTCATTGGAGATATTGTTAAAAAGATCTCAGCAAAATTATGTCAAACATATCCGATTGTTCATAATAAGTTGGTTGGCATTAGTTACCGTTTGGAGGAGTTGTATTCAAAAATCGATGTAGGAGAAGATGATGTCCGTATTATAGGAATATGTGGAATGGGTGGCATCGGTAAAACCACTCTTGCAAGAGTTGTTTACGACCAAATGTCATCTCATTTTGAAGGTAAAAGCTTTCTTGCTGATGTTCGAGAAGTTTCAAACAAATTGGGACTTGTTTATTTCCAGAAACAACTTCTTACTCAAACCTTGTTCGAAGAAGGATTCAATATATTCGATGTTGATCAAGGAAATGTAATCATCAGTCATAGGTTGTCTCACAAAAAGGTTCTTGTTGTTATCGATGATGTTGATAACAGAAAACACTTGGAACACTTGGTTGGAAGGCGGGATTGGTTCGGTTCAGGCAGTAGGATCATTGTAACAACAAGAGATGAACATCTGCTCCGATCTTATCGAGTCGATTATGTGTATAAGCCTACAACATTGAGTCCCAATGATGCACTTCGGCTTTTTAATTTGAGAGCTTTCGATAGTGAGACAGTGTTCGAAGATGTTTTCATTGAGCTTTCTGAACATGTTGTAAGTTATGCCGGCGGTCTTCCCTTAGCTCTTGAAGTGTTGGGTTCTTTTTTGTGTGGTAGAGATGCAACTCAATGGAGAAGTGCAATTGAAAGACTTAAACGAGATTCTAACAAAGAAATTCTTGATAGACTTCGAATCAGTTTTGATGGATTGGAAGAAAGGGAGAAGAATATATTTCTTGATATCGCATGCTTCTTCAATGGGGAGGAGAAAGATTTTGTAACCAAGGTGTTGGATGGTTGTGAGTTTTTCCCAGATATTGGAATCGATGTTCTCGTTAAGAAATCCCTAGTGGCAGTTGATGAAGACAACAAATTATGGATACATGACTTGCTACAAGATATGGGAAGAAAAATTGTTTGGGAAAAATCTATTGATGAACCTGGAAAGCGATGCAGATTGTGGGATGAAAGGGACATCCAACATGTTCTAACAAGAAAAACTGTAAGTCATTCAATAAAACTAAGTCTTCCTATGTACAAAAATATACATAATATTTTTAATATTTGATCGAGTAGGAGGAATATTGCAAACTATGTCATTTAAAATATTTTTAGTTGATTATAAAATGTTAATAAGGATTTGAATAAGTATATAATTTCAGTAAATCACTCTCATTGGAAAATGTTATAATTTGTTTAAAGTGATTTATTTACTATATTCCGATCAAAAGATTATCGTAATGTTAAACATAGGTGTAAATTGTCAAAAGTTTCATCATGCAGTTTAAACCATTCATTCTGTCTTCTTATACTCTGTTCTTGATTACTTGTAGGCCACGGAACTGATTGAAGCCATGATCATCGACAATCGAAGGTAGGAAAACATTTATTCGCGTTTATCAATGTATGTTTCAGTGTAGTCTATAACATATCGTCAAAAGCTTTCAAAAATAAATCCAACTGATTTGAGTTTTACTAATCTGTCATCATTTGGTCTAGTAGCAATGTGTGTTAGGGCGCAAAATAATTCCAGTTTGTTAGCTTAGGTAATTTGAACTCAGATTTAAGGGTTAGATATATATATATGTGTTTTACATGTGCATTGATTTTAATGTTTTTCCATGTATTCGAAGAGTTCTTAAAATATCATATAACAATACTCTTATTAGAATATGCGTCAGATACAAGTATCAAACACAGATGATTGAAAACACAGTGATGGAGCAACATAGCTTTTAGGTATTGGATTTGTTTTTGCATAGTTTGAAGCTCATTTTTTTGTTTTTCTCATGGTTATCAGGGAATCGAACAAGACTCTCAATTTGAGTGTCGATGCCTTCTTGAAGATGAAAAGATTGAGATTGCTCAAAGTTCTTTGCTTCTCAAATTGTGATGGTCTCAAATATCTTTCTAATGAGCTACGGCTTTTAGATTGGAAAGGATTTCCTTTAAGATCTCTGCCCTCTGGCTTTCAACCGGACAACCTTGTTGCACTGCTCTTACAATACAGTCGCATTGAACAACTATGGAAGGGAAACAGAGTAAGAATTAATTCTATTTTTAAGATGAATGATTAAAATTTGATTATGATAGAGACAAAAATAACAAGAATGAGCTTTCTTATGTTTTCTCGTTTCTCTCTAATATCTTATTGTTTTCAACAGCCCTTGTACAAGTTGAAAGTGTTAAACCTCACAGGGTCCCCGAACCTGATCAAGACTCCGGACTTCACAATGACCCCAGATCTTGAAGTTCTGATCCTGGAAGGTTGTACAAAAATAGTTGATGTTCATCCATCCATAGCAGAGCTTAAGAGGCTTCAAAGTTTGAATTTGAGTGGCTGCAAACGTCTTAGGAATCTTCCAACCAAAATTGGAATGGAATCTCTTCAAACATTCATTCTTTCGGGTTGTTCAAATCTTCTTTGGTTTCCAGAGATTGATTGCAAAATGGATTGTCTAAAAACTCTTGATCTTTCCGGATGTTATAGAGTTGGATTTTTGCCAGAGAGTTTGCAGCTAGCAGAGTTTTTGGAAGAGCTTGACTTGAGTGAAACGGCCATAACAAAACCACCGTCCTTCATTTTTCGACTTAAAAATCTTAAATTTCTGTCTTTCAATGGGTGCAAGAGATCTTCATATAAGTTTCGAAAAAATCTACCTTCTCTCTTCAAAAACTTCCAAAGAGGAAAGACAAATTCAATGGCTCTGATGTTGCCTTCGTTGTCGGGTTTGAGTTCATTGACAAAGCTGAAACTAAGGGACTGCAATCTTTGTGAAGGAGATATTCCTACTGATATTTATTGTCTATCCTCTTTGGTAATCCTCAATCTCAGCAGTAACAATTTCATCAGCCTACCTGATTCTCTTACTCGACTTTCCAAGCTTAAAAATCTTCAATTGATGAATTGTCGGCGGCTGAAATCATTGCCTGAGCTTCCAACAAGTACAGTAAATTTGAGCTTAGATGATTGTGCTTCTCTGGAACTAATTGCTAATCCATCAAAAATATGCAATTCAAGTTATTTTTGGCAGATTATAGGTACCAACTGCCACAGATTGGCTGAGAACATCAATGCATTAACATTGCTGAAAAAACATCTCAAGGTTGTTCAATCTCTCTTTTTTGCTTAACTAAATCTCGTAATTAAGAATTTGTGTTTTTAGTTACCAGCAAAGGGTGTTTTATTTTCCAGGTATTTGCACATTCAAGAGAAAAATTCGATGTTATTATACCAGGAAGTGAAATCCCGGAATGGTTCAGCCATCAAAGAGTCGACTCTTCAATCAAGATGCCACTGCCTCTCAATATTTGGAATGATAGTCAATGGATGGGAGTTGCTCTCTGCTGCATTTTTGCCGGTGGTGATTCTTCGGGGGATGAGGAAATCTGGTGTAATTCTGTTATCCATTGTGGAGAACCTCGACGTTTTGGTGAGGTTCCCATTCATTTAGGGAAAAGTTTTAATCAGCCCATAAAAAATGACCACTTTTTTCTTCGTTACTTGGGGCGTGACGTGTTATATCCATATTCCTTGGAGAATGAATGTGGTGAAAGTGAAACCGAGAATACATCAACACCGGATTGCTCAAATCAGGAATGCTATGAACTTGAATTGTCATTCAAATATGTTGCTCTTGGTAAAGGTGTTGGGGTGAAGAAATGTGGGGTTCGGATAGTGTATGAGAAAGATTTGGAAGATGTCCAACTTACAACAGAGCAACACATCAATCAAAGTAGGGTACAAATTGAATGAAGACTCCACTATTGATGGACACAGAGACAGACATGTTAAGAACCATTAGGTACAAATTGAAAATGTATTAGAGATAAAAGATACCCATGTTCGAGAGGTGATGACACCTCTTGTTGATGTAGTCGCAATCGATGCAAGTTCAACTCTTGTTGAGTTCCACAATTTGTGGGTGATTCATCAATATTCAAGGTAGATAAGCTTAGCAGTTAGTAATTCATCTTTTAGCTGTTTTTCCTTGCAAAACAAGCTAAGAGATTTGTTGAACTCATTTTCTCAGGGTGCCTGCTTTTGAGCAGCGGATTGACAATATAGTAGGTATAGCATATGCTTTGGACCTACTAGATTATGTTCCAAAGGTGAGACGATTTCTGCTCATAATATTTTTATAATATTTTTTCTTTATTTCATTGGTAAGTCTTTGCTTATTGATGCATGCAACAATATCATATTGTGCAGAATTATGATCTGTTTGATTTTGAAGGGTGAACTGCTAGAAAGTACTACTGTGGCAGATATGGCTCATAAACCTGCATACTTCATGCCCGGTAATTCTGTTGGTTTCATACTTTGCAACATGTGCCTATAGGTTATATTCTGAGAAGCCATTACATTTAGTATTCTCAATTTGTTTTGCAGATTCAATGTCAGTCTGGAATCTCCTTAGAGAGTTTCGAATCAGGAAGGTTCACATGGCTGTTGTTCTTAATGAATATGGTAAAACAGTTGGGGTGTGCGGTCTACCTAATTTTGGATGATTTTGTATTTACTTTTCTACTCTTGAATGTTTCTTATCTGTTCAGAGTTTTTGCTAAAGACGCAGTTTTCATGTTTTATGTGGCATTATTTGATTTGTATGGCATAACTTAACCGGATTGCTATACGACATTAATATGAGATTGAAAAAGTTTCTGCAGTTCGAAAAGTTGAATGAGTTGCCACAGATTCCTTTGTTAAAGACTACTACGATTAGTAGCGCATTTCTTCTTGTCTCTCCTTTTTTAATTATTAGTTTTGATTTTTATGAACAGATAGTCACCTTGGAAGATGTGGTTGAGGAGATTGTTGGTGAAATTTTCGATGAAAATGATTCAAAAGTAAGGCTTGCGACGCCTTTGACGACTTCATTATTAACTTTGTTCCTTTGCTATAAACTTTGTACTCCTAATTATATAGATTTATTCAAAATGCTGCTTTTCATTATTCCGCAATTAGTGAAGCTTGCTTAAGAAATCCAACATCAGTCAAGACGATTGTTACACCTCAAAATCTCTACTCAATGATTAATATAGCTCGGTTCTTATATTTTCGTTTCCTGCTATAACAGGGGGAGATCCAGAAGAAAACCGGCTATATCGTAATTCGAGCAGAGGGTATCTTTGATGTTGATGCTAATACATCTATTGACCAACTTTCCGAAGATCTAAACATCAAAATTCCAGAGGTATATTACTTTTATAACTCATTATTATTGATATAATCCTCGTGCATAAATTTCATTTTATTTGTTAGCTTCTGCTAGTTTAGTAAATATATAATCCTCTGTTTTTGGAAATTTGATCTGTAATGGTTATGATTCGGATTTTTAATCTTGCTTAAAGAATCAAGTACTTGTCCTATTAAACGAACTAGTTGGTAGGTTTAATTTCATTGCTTCCGAACAAGTTTCAAATTTCTTTGGAGACGGTACAATTATTTATTTCATAAATTTTCTTTAATAGTTGTGCTTAATGTATTAAATAGTTTAATAACATTCTATTAATTCTAATATATTCATTTATTCGTAGTTTATTTTTCTCACCATATATATTTTGATTTATTTTTCTCACCATCTTTTTTAAATAGTCTACAATATTATAAAATATTATCAATTTAAAGTTATGTTTTTTATAATTATCGTTATTTGATTTATTGATGAATTAATCTAGATCAGATATTATTGATACGGTAGAGATTTGAAATTTATAAAAAGAAAAATATTTTTTAAATATTAATGGGAGAAAAGTCTAAAAGTTAAAATAATTTTATATTATAATTTATAATTAAAATAGTCCACTTTGTCGACTTATGCTCGACTCGAGGCCTAGTCAACAGTGAACAGAAGAAAGCAAAGCAAGCAGTTGTAGTCCCAGCTTCTTGGATTCTTCCGGGAAGACACTTCATTTCCACCACTACACGCTTTCTTCCTTTTGAATTTAATAATTATAAAGAAATTGCTCAGAAACCTTTGTTTTTGGAAATTTGATCTCCTTTTCTCTTCATTCTTGCTCTTTTACTTGGACTGTTCCTAGTTTCTTCCTGGGTTTTAGGCCATCTTTATATATATATTGATTTTGAACATCGGATTGAGACATCCTTTTCTTCCTCCTATAATTCGTCATGTTGTCGTTGCCTTGTCTTCCTCGTCTATTTCCAGACACAAATATGATGTTTTCTTGAGTTTTAGAGGTGAAGATACCCGCAGAAGTTTTACAGATCATCTCTATGATGCTCTTCAACGCAGCGGAATCGTCACTTTCAGGGATGAGCCGGAGCTGGAGGCCGGCGAAGAGATTGCCCCAGAACTCTTTAAAGCCATTCAACAATCATGGTGCTCGGTAATCGTTTTCTCCAAAACCTACACCTTTTCAAGTTGGTGTTTAGAGGAGCTTGCTGAGATTGTTAAACAAAAATTGGAAAAGGTTCATAAAATATTCCCAATTTTCTATGATGTTGATCCGTCTGATTTAAGAAAACAAAAGTATAAAGTTGGAGAAGCATTCGCCAAACACGAAGATACATACAAGGAAGATCGACACAAGATCCAAAGATGGCGAAATGCTTTGACTGAGGTTTCTAACATCAAGGGATGGCATTTGAATAACAAGTAATTCATTCTTGTCTCTCTTTGATCATTTATTTCATGGTCTTATCTGTTCATTTCTTAAATGAATAAAAAAACTAAATTTAATTTCTGTTGTAGGCATGATTATGAATCTGAATTCATTGGAGCTATTGTTAAAAAAGTCTCGGCAAAATTATGTCAAACGTATACGATTATTCATGATAAGTTGGTCGGAATTAGTTCCCGTTTGGAAGAGTTTTATTCAAAAATCGATGTTGGAGAAGATGATGTCCGTATTATAAGAATATGTGGAATGGGTGGCATCGGTACAACCACTCTTGCAAGAGTTGTTTACAACCAAATGTCATCTCATTTTGAAGGTAAAAGCTTTCTTGCTGATGTTCGAGAAGTTTCAAACAAATTGGGACTTGCTTCTTTACAGAAACAACTTCTTACTCAAACCTTGTCCGAAGGAGGATTCAATATATTCGATGTTAATGAAGGAAATGCAATCATCAATCATAGGTTGTCTCACAAAAAGGTTCTTGTTGTTATCGATGATGTTGATAACAGAAAATACTTGGAACACTTGGTTGGAAGGCGTGATTGGTTCGGTTCAGGCAGTAGGATCATTGTAACAACAAGAGATGAACATCTGCTCCGATCCTATCGAGCCGATTATGTGTATAAGCCTACAACATTGAGTCCCAATGATGCACTTCGGCTTTTTAAATTGAAAGCTTTCGATAGTGAGACAGTATTAGAAGGTGTTTTCATTGAGCTTTCTAAGCATGTTGTACGCTACGCTGGTGGTCTTCCCTTAGCTCTTGAAGTGTTGGGTTCTTTTTTGTGTGGTAGAGATGCAACTCAATGGAGAAGTGCAATTGAAAGACTTAAACGAGACTCCAACAAAGAAATTCTTGATAGACTTCGAATCAGTTTTGATGGATTGGAAGAAAGGGAAAATAATATATTTCTTGATATCGCATAATTCTTTAATGGGGAGGAGAAAGATTTTGTAACCAAAGTGTTGGATGGTTGAGTTTTTCCTAGATATTGGAATCGATGTTCTCGTTAAGAAATCCCTAGTGGCAGTTGATGAAGACAACAGATTGTGGATGCATGGCTTGCTACAAGAAATGGGAAGAAAAGTTGTTTGGGAAAAATCTATTGATGAACCTGGAAAGTGTTGCAGATTGTGGGATGAAAGGGACATCCAACATGTTCTAACAAAAAAATCTGTAAGTCATTCAATAAAACTAAGTCTTCATATGTACAAAAATATACAAAAATATTTTGAATATTTGATCAAGTAGGAGGAATATATTTATTTATTATATTGCAAAACAATGTGTGTTAGGAGCAAAATAATTCCAGTTTGTTAGCTTAGGTGATTTGAACTGAGATTTAAGGGTTAGATATAGATATGTGTTTTACATGTGCATTGATTTTAATATTTGTCCATGGATTCGAAGAGTTCTTAAAATATCATATAACAATACTCTTAACCGAATATGCGTCAGATACAAGTATCAAACACGGATGATTGAAAACACAGTAATGGAGTAACGTAGCTTTTAGGTATTGGATTTGTTTTTGCATAGTTTGAAGCTCTTTTTTTTGTTTTTCTCATGGTTATCAGGGAACCAAACAAGACACTCAATTCGAGTGTCGATGCCTTCTCAAAGATGAAAAGATTGAGATTGCTCAAAGTTCTTTGCCTCTCAAATTGTGATGGTCTCAAATATCTTTCTAATGAGCTACGGCTTTTAGATTGGAAAGGATGTCCTTTAAGATCTCTGCCCTCAGGCTTTCAACCGGACAACCTTGTTGCACTTCTGTTACAATACAGTCACATTGAACAACTATGGAAGGGAACCAGAGTAAGAATTAATTCTATTTTTAAGATGAATGAATAAAATTTGATTATGATAGAGACCAAAATAACAAGAATGAGCTTTCTTATTTTTTCTCTCTAATTTATTATTGTTTTCAACAGCCCTTGTACAAGCTGAAAGTGTTAAACCTCAGAGGGTCCCCGAACCTGATCAAGACTCCGGACTTCACAATGGCCCCAGATCTTGAAGTTCTGATCCTGGAAGGTTGTACAAAAATAGTTGATGTTCATCCATCCATAGCAGAGCTTAAAAGGCTTCAAAATTTGAATTTGAGAGGCTGCAAAAGTCTTAGGAATCTTCCAACCAAAATTGGAATGGAATCTCTTCAAACATTCATTCTTTTGGGTTGTCCAAATCTTCTTTGGTTTCCAGAGATTGATTGCAAAATGGATTGTCTAAAAACTCTTGACCTTTCCGGATGTTATAGTGTTGGATTTTTGCCAGAGAGTTTGCAGCTAGCAGAGTTTTTGGAAGAGCTCGACTTGAGTGAAACGGCCATAACAAAACCACCGTCCTTCATTTTTCGACATAAAAATCTTAAAAGTTTTGTCTTTCAACGGCTGCAAGGGATCTTCATCTAAGTTCCGAAAAAATCTGCCTTCTCTCTTCAAAAAAATCCAAAGAGGAAAGACGAATTCAATGGCTCTGATGTTGCCTTCGTTGTCGGGTTCATTGACAGAGCTGAATCTAAGGGACTGCAATCTTTGTGAAGGAGATATTCCTATTGATATTTCTTGTCTATCCTCTTTGAAAAGACTCGATCTCAGCAGTAACAATTTCATCAGCCTACCTGATTCTCTTACTCAGCTTTCCAAGCTTGAATTTCTTAAATTGATGAATTGCCGCGGGCTGAAATCGTTGCCCGAGCTTCCAACAAGTATAGCAACTACTCACATAGATGATTGTGCTTCTTTGGAACTAATTGCTAATCCATCAAAATTATGCAATTCAAGTTATTTTGGGTATATTATAGGTATCAACTGCTACAGATTGGCTGAGACCATCAATGCATTAACATTGCTGAAAAAACATATGAAGGTTGTTCAATCTCTCTTTTTTCCTCAACAAAATCTCGTACTTAAGAATTTGTGTTTTTGGTTACCAGCGAAGGGTGCTTTATTTTGCCGGTATTTGCAAATTCTTGTAGAAGGTTCAATGTTATTATACCTGGAAGTGAAATCCCGGAATGGTTCAGCCATCAAAGAGTCTACTCTTCAATAAAGATGCCACTGCCTCTCAATATTCGGAATGATAGTCAATGGATGGGAGTCGCTTTCTGCTGCATTTTTGCCGGTGGTGATTCTTCGCGGATTGAGCGAATCAGGTGTAATGCTGTTATCCATTGTGGAGAACCTCGAGATCTTGATGGCGTTGGCATTCATTTAGGGAAAGGATTTAATCAGCCCATAAAAAATGACCACCTTTTTCTTGGTTACTGGTATCGTGACGTGTTATATCCATATTCCTTGCAGAATGAATGTGGTGAAAGGGAAACCAAGAATACATCAACACCGGATTGCTCAAATCAGGAATGTGATGAACTTGAATTGATATTCTCATATGATGCTCGTGGCAAAGGTGTTGGGGGTGAAGAAATGTGGGGTTCGGATAGTGTATGAGAAAGATTTGGAAGATGTCCAACTTACCACGGTAACACCTTAACCTATATTCGAATCTGAATACAAATTAAGGATGTCACATTGTTTTTGTACTATTTTTCCTACTTCAAAATTTTGCTTTTTTCTTTCTTTCAAAACTTCCAAATTTAATAATTATTTAAACACATAAAATAATAATAAAATATTTAATTTTCAATTCGTATTTAGTTTGATGTGACAATTAGAGAAGTCTATACTACTTCATATCACTATTAACACTGCCTAAAAATAATTCAATCAATCCTTATAATTTATTACCACTCATATATATATATATATATATATATATATATATATATATATATATATATATATATATATATATATATATATATATATATATATATATCCACTTAACCACTTACCATATTCTCTTCTTTCTTTATTACGATTTCTCATATTATATTATTTTAATATTTTAGCTCAACTTTTATCATACATTTTTATATCACCATGTATATATAACATTTGTAATATTTATAATTAAATTTATTAAAACATCTCCTAAAAATATAAAAACATTAATATCGAGTATTTTATGTAATAAGCACGTTAAGTAAGCATATAATAGTCTTTTTCTTTCACATGTATAACATTATTCACACACACATATACATATTCAAATTCAATCCATTTAATTTATACTTATAATAGCGCATAACAATACTGTGTAACACATATATATTTGGTACAAAATATCGTATAAAAACATAGTATAAAACCATTTAATCAGTTAAATAAGATTTAACCATATCATTTCATATATGAGTAACTTATAATTTATCTTTTTATCTATAAACCATTAAATGTTAAATCAATTTTTCTTTTACATATAAAACTTTACTGTGATACAATAATTAAACTTGTACTGTCTTTTCTTCTTGTACTTTTCCCTTCCTCCATATTGTCTCTTTTCCTGTACTGTTCCTTTCATTGTGCTATATCCTTTACTGTACTCTATCTTTTACAGTATTATATATTTTGGTTTCATTTTATAGTTCATTATATAATCATGAGAATACATGGTACATGAGTCAGAAAACGAGTGTTCTGCACGGTATGCAGTATAACTGCTGATATCAGTAATTAGTGAATTGTAATGTACATAAAGTGTTAGTATTAGTAATCATTGAACAATAATGCAATAAAGTGAATGACAGATGTACACAAATGTACAGAAACATATCCAAAATCACTCCACTTCATGTACCCATGACTCTCAAATCTTATACATTGGGCTTTATTTAAATATTATATCTTTTTCATATATATATATAACAATATTAATAGAAAATTATCACATTCATATACTGTTTCATTCATATATTAGTATATCTAACCAACATAATAAATTAATATTCATATAAATATATTAACAATATCATTAATGTATATTCAATATTGATTTCTTTCACAAAATTGATAACAAATTTTAGCTTTATTAAATTAACCATCCAAGTTCTTTAAATAATTAGTTCTCACAGCAATTTACTTAGCTTTTTCAAAATTTAGCTTTTTCAAAATTTCGCATTTAACTATGAATAAACTTTTCTTTAAAATATAATCTAGCATTTCGAAAATGTCTAAAATAATTCTTTAATATTCAAATTAAATCCATTTCATTTGTCATATTTAGTCACTTTCACATTAACTCCAATACAATACATTAACTTTAAATAATTACCATTTCATCACCAACTTTTCCAAAGCTTACAAATTGAACTTCTAACTTATACAACTTCTTATATTAATCCAATTTCAATATTTCATCATTTAACTATAAATTTCCATATTCTTGACAACTTGCACTACCTTTCAAGAATCATTATTTTGTATTAATCTACTCACTGGATTTTAATTCCATTTCTTTGGTTTGAAACTATACTCGAATACAAATCTAATCATATAAATTAATTTTTATAACTCAACTTGTATAATTTATAGTGAATTTTCTAATCCAATTTCTAGAATTTGTTTTGAGCAGAATTTGTTGCCCTGTTTTTTGACCTATCATCCATCGAAAATTCGTATCTTTCATTATACAATTCGAAATCAATCCACGTTTGTTTTTGCAAAAACTAGACTGACATACAAATACAACGGTATAAAAATTATCTGCTAATCATTTGTATAGAATTTCTAGTGATTTTTCAAACTTACAGCTAGATTCAAAAATCTAAATTGTTTTCATTATTTTGCATCTTTAATTTCTTCATCAATTCTTACAACTTGCATCTTAATCCTTCATCATTTTTACTTTATTAAAATCAATCCCGAACACTCTAGCATTTTAAAATTTCAGTACCTTCACATTTGTATAATTACAATTCAATCCTTTATTTCAATCCATTCGAATGTAACCATCACACTTAACCAAATTTGCAATTTGATCTTATATCAACATTCCAACTTAAGATTCAGTACCCAAATATTTAATTTCAACATTGATTACTCATAACTGAAAATTTTCACTAAAATGCCAAACTTTTTCGTAATTTATGATTTGGTTCCTAAATTTTACAAAATTTCCAAATTAGTCCAATTTCACATTCTTACATCAAATTCAAAATACTAAGTTTTTAGTTCCAGCATAGTGCATCATCTATTAAATAGTTTCACTTCAGTCCCTAAATTTTTCCATAAATTTCAAATAAGTCCTTATAATTTCACAAATTTTCAATTTGATCCAAATCATCATCCAAATATCAATTTTTGCACTACAACATTCAATTTCAACCTAATACATCAGTTATTAGACATTTGAGCACTAATCTCCATATTTCTCAAATTATACAATTAAATCCCTATACTTTCACAATTTTCCAAATTGGTTCAAATCATAATATAAGCATACAGAATCCCTCATACATAATTTCTATTCCTTATAAAATCTTTCCACAATTTTTCTTTGTTTTCTTCCTTTTATGTAGAATTGAATAAAAATATTTCAAGCTTGATTTTCAACTTTATTCAAGCATAATTTTATCATCAACACATCATTTTCATCCATTCTCAATCATTTCCACATCAACAACAATCCAATGATCCAAGCATGGAAGCAATGAAATATTATCACCAAATGATAGAGATTTTTGATATGGATCATTTTTCTATTTCATAACTTAATCCAAAAATCAAAGGAAAAAGGATTAAAATGAAGAAAAAGAAAGAAAACATACCTTGTCTTCTTTTTCATTCATGGTTCACGGCATATATAGGAAGGATAAGCCAAATTTCTGGACAAATCTCCCAAAATATCTATGTACACTTGTAAAATTCTATTAAAAGTGAATTTTTAAAATTCATTTTAGTCCAAAAGTTGTAGTTACCCTTAATGAATCTTAATAATTACCACCATTCCATCCTTTTGTCTCCATTTTCGTAACATTAAATAAATATAAAAATCTCATTTATCAATTTCCACCTTTGCCTATCTAAATTTTCCAAATATTCAATTTCGTCACTAAATTTCATTATTCTACTTTAACATGGAAATTCCTCCAAGTTTCACTAATTCACACCAAATTCCACTAATTAAAAATATCAATGTAATATTTCTAGCCCCAAACTA